TTTCTTTCTTTCTTTCTTTCTTCTTTCTTTCTTTCTTTTTTTGCCTTCCTCTCCTGGTGGCACAAGGACCTCTCTTTCTTCCACTGTGTCGTGAGTAGGTCCTCATGACTTACTGTCCACCATAAGAGAGTTTCTATGTATTTCTTTCACAGGGGAGAAGAGTAATGAACAGATATTTATACCTTATTCCATTTGGTAGCCAGTGTGATACCAGAATGAAGAAACAGGGCAACAGCTCTACTGAAGACACCAATTCCTCTAGCCGCATGCTCCCCTTCCAGTGATTCCCGTGAAACATTACCTAATGTCACAACACACGCGAGTCCCCCAACAATTTGGATGTGCGTGTGCATGTGTGTGTGCGTGTGCACTTATGCGCATGTGTTTTAAGGACAATAATTGGAAGTCAATAAGGAAAAACAAACAAGAAACAGTCATCCCAATTCTGGCCTCTCTCTTCAAGTGAATAGGTACCAAAATGTGGAGGAAAACCTTAAAAATTTGAACACTTCCAGTAGAAATCTTTTTCTCTTCGTCTGGAAAATTTATCGTTTTCGCAGAACTTTATTCTAATTTTGCCTTACAGGCATCCTGTCTGGATGTAGGGTTGACAGCCTGCCATACATAAAACATGCCAGAATTTCAAAAAGTGTGAGGCTGGCTCTGCAGTTGGCTAGGAAGTCAGATGCTGGAGAAAATATACCCAAGAGCTCTGTGTTGACTTTGGATAGAATGTAACCCACTCTTTGGAACGATAACTGGAAGTGTTGTGACATTTGGGAAGGACACACTTTCACCATGGGTAGGAATCTTACAGCGTATGTCTGCGTGGCACTTGCACGCTATTTGTAGAGAAAAATTTAGCACTGACCCGTGGTGGCCAAAGGAGTTGACACTTTCCCTCACTCTTCTTCTCAGCCGTTGAAAAGTAGACCCTCTCTCAACCTGCTGTTTGGCCAGATGTTGATAGAAGGACATGCCTGACTCCTGTTCCCTTGGCACCTGCGTTTTGATTAAATGAGACAAGCCCAGCATCCTTGGCACATGCCTGGCGTTTTACAGGTGTCTTGGTGACGGTCTGCTGATAGGAGCATGACTTGCTCACGTTGCCTGAAGTATTGGTGCAACTATCCCCAGAGATACCGGAATACGGGGCTTCAAGAGAGGGGGAGCTAGAACGCGGTTGGGAGTTCAAGGTCACTCTAGGGAACCTCAGGAGAAGACGTTCTTCCTTCTTCATTCCTACGACCCACCACTGAGTGAACCGAGCCAGGGCTGCCAGTTGCAAAGCTTCCCCGTCTGCCGCGGGGACGCTTGCTGCCCCCCGAGCTGCTTGGGACGCTTCCTGCAAGGCGGTGTGTGGCGGTCCAGCCCCGGCGCCGCCGCCCTCTCGGCGTTGTCTCCCCCCGCTGCGCTTCCTCCGCCTCGCTCTCCAGTGTGGAACCGGCACCGCAGTCTCTGCTTCATGAACTTGCAAGTGCAGCTCCATCCTTGTCTTTAATTCGTTTCCATGGGAGAGAATCCCTAGAGCTGCATTCTGCCTTTTAACTCAGGCCACAGCACTGAGTCTTCTTTTTTTTTAATGAATAAACTGTTTTTTAGAGCAGTTTCAGATTTCAGATAATTGCTCAGAAAGTATAGCGTTCCTATATAAACCCATCACCCAGCCAACCATTTCCCCTGCCGTTAACATTTTTTTATTTTAATATATTGAAGTATAGTCTAGTTACAATGTTGTGTCAATTTCTGGTGTGCAGCAAGCATAAAGCAATACTGAAGAAAAAGTGCATCATAGGTCCTTGATCAGCTAATCGTTGGCCGACCTTGAATCAGGGACCCACCCAGTCCGGTTCACTGTGACTGTGGTGGAGGAGGGGCGGGATACTGGGCAAAGAGTGTTGGCAACCTAACTGGTGCATTTTCAGCAGAGCCTTTGGGTGGGCTGGTCTCCCCACAGTGAGGCTTTCGGTGGAGTAGGAAATGAACCTGACATTTCCTGAAGTGTTTTCTATGTTCAGGGGGTTCAACCATTGCATGGTGGAGGCTTGACTGTCCTGGGGCTGTGATATAAATTCTTTTCATGGCTGCAGCCGACCACAAGGGAAGCTGACCCATTCAATTCTGATTCATAATCAATAACAGAGAAGCCAAACATTCTCTTTGAAAAGATGGATGATCTTGTGGTGAGAAGCCTGGGAGCATTAGAAGCCAGCCCAACAGAAAACTATGATAAAATAGGACCAAATGAGCAGCAGCTCGGCCCAGAGTTCCACAGCGGGGCCTGCGAACTGGTAGCTCCTTGAACACTGCACATTGAAAGTCAGGGAACTCGGGGTCGGGGGTGGGTGGGGGAGGGTGTAGCTCAGCGGTAAGAGTGTACGCTTAGCATGCACAAGGTCCTAAGTTCAATCCCCAGTCCCTCCATTAAATAAATAAATCTAATTCCACCCATCCCTGCAGGAAAAAAAACTAAGTTTAAAAAAAAAAGGAATTCACGGGAAGGATTAGCTCAGTGGTAGAGTTTTTGCTTAGCATGCAGGAGGTCCTAGGTTCAATCCCCAGTACCTCCATTAAATAAATAAACATAATTACACGCATATTAAAAAATAAGTTAAAAAAAGGAATTCAGGGTGCGGGTAGAGCCCAGTGGTAAAGGGCATGCTTAGCAGACATGAGGTCCTGGGTTCAATCCGCAGTACCTCCTTTAAAGATAAATAGATGACTAAATAAACCTAATCACCCAAGTTTTCTAAAATAGAATAAATTAAAAAAAATTCAATCTCAATCAGTGCTGCACCACTCAGAAGTTTTTCTCTGTGCTGTAGAGCTTAGAGAGCCACTAGACGAGGTAAGAGCTTCCTGAGGAACCCCTTTCTCTACCCTTGATTATCCAAAGGCAACAAGATTCCGTGAATAATGTGATAGGACTTAACGTTCTTGTGTTGTTTCTTTTGATAAAGCTGGCCTACAGTTTAATGAACACTTACTCATTTAGTATACACCATGAAATATGTTTATTCAGGTGTGCTTCGGGGAAGGGGGGTTTCACCTGAGAGTTGCTCAGGGTTTCCTGAGAAGCAGTTTTGCTGCCATATTCCTACCCCCGTCTCTAACATCCGCCCTCCCTCTGTGTTTCAGAATCACCACGACTGCGGCGTGCATGATGGATCTGAGGAGATACCCCTTGGATGAGCAGAACTGTACTCTGGAGATTGAAAGCTGTGTGTATCTGCATTTCTTTTTCATCCACTTTGTGTTTTAGGCCTTCTTATCACTGTTTGACGAGGCATATATAATTTTCTTGACATAGGTTTTAACTATCTTAAAGATGAGAGGTTTCAACCTCCGCTCTGCAAATTGCACTTCTGTGACAGGGAGAGGACCAGAGAGAAAGACAGAGACAGGGACTCAGCATAAAAGAGGTCTCTGTTCCGACCTGATTAAGAGAGCCTGTTTGCTGTGCTGACATTTAAGAGGACCAGTGCTCCCCATCCCCGTCCATTCAGTGAGAAGGGGGTGAACCCTGAGATGCGGTTTCTCCCAGCGCGCTCCATCACGCATGCGTGGCTGGACTCCCGGGACCACCGCCCCCCCCGCCCCCCACCCCCACCCCGGGCCGTTGACGTAACACTCATCGCTGTTCAGGAACCCAGCTTTCTAAGCGAGCTCCTTCTACATCTTGACAATTTTCTTCAGTTTCAAGAGTGTTCAGATGCCCTTTTGGGAAGCGGGCGCTGAGCAGTGCTCCCTGTGAGGGAGGGGGGCGGCCGGCGCATCGGCTGGCAACTGATGTCCCGCCTGCTTC